CATATCGGACTTACTTAAAAATATCGAAAAACCGGTTTATCGTGACTTAAAAAAATTATCGCGATTATGATAATTATCATGTCCCAATATTGATGATAATACATCGTCGCTTGGACTAGTTAGCGAGGAAAATGTGTTTGGCAAGGTCAAGGTTGGAGAGTATTTACCCCAGTCGCAACTGTCACTGTTCTGATTTTCAGACAAGTAGATTTTAGAACCCTGCTAGTTCTGGTTACATATTATCGTTATATTAAAACTTAACATTCTGCTTCGACTAACTAGTATGTCATTCTATTGATAGAATTAAATTCGTCTACAAGTATAAAATATAGCATATTAAGTACCGGCGGGTCAAGGGTAAATATCCATCATGGCGTCTAGCAACAGTAAAAAAGTGACAACAAGCGACGATTTGCTGCCTAAAAAAAATTCCTCCAGTCCCGTTTGGACTTTCTTTGGGTTTAAGCCAAACGACGTAGACCAGGCCACAATATTCTGCAAAGTTTGCACAAATCCAGTAATGGCTAAAGGTGGCAACACAACCAACCTATATCATCATTTGCGAACACGACACCCAAGTCAGTACAAAAGCTTTTATTTATACGGGATTGCCAAGGTTGATATTAATAAAATAATAAACAGGGTACGAAATAACACGCGAACGGTCGTTCAGGTTACGCATCGGTTACCATGACCTGGAAACACGCGAATGGACTTCCGTTCTCGACCACCGAGCTATAATTTATAAACTAAAGGTTTCAGTTAAAATATTCCCTCCACTACTACATTAAAACATTTTACAATTATAAATAAATGTCTGAAAGATCGTTAAGTTCGCACCTGTCATTTTGGCGGTAGCAAATCAACTCGCGGACCCATCATACCTGGCAACGACATACTCATTTGCCTCTTTAGCGAACGAAAGCGCCAGATCAATCAACTGATTTCTATTGTTTTTATTTCTTAAATTAATGGTGATTGAGTAATAAAAATAAAACACCCAATGAAAAGGAATGTTATATTCGCAAATTATCAAATAAAAAACATACTTTTCAACAATGGATCTTCCGGTATTTACGTAATAGGTCAGAGGTGAAAATTCACACCGTGTCAATGACTTTGGCATTATTCCAATATTTTCACGTTGTCACTCACGGCTAATAATTTTATGACATGGAAAGTGAAATGGAATAAGATTTTTTATGATTTACTGCCAGGCATATCGTAGAACATGATAATGTCGAAGAAATCAACTATTTGTTATTTTTGGGGGACGTTATGAATGATGCGAAGCAGCCGAGATCAAGCGTGTCGGCCGCCATATCTTGGATACGTTTCCAGACAGACGATACCACAAAACTTACGGATAATAATTCTAGAGTTTGGAAAGCTAAATTGAATCAAAACTTTTAGGATTTAATACAAGCTACATAGAGGAATATTACATTGCAACTATATATTTTTATTTTCGATGCTATGAAGCAAAGAAGACGACAATTCCAACCATATATCCAACAAAGGCAGAAATGTCACATAGCGATGAAGTGACGGTCATTTGGGGCGATATTTCTTTCTAAAAGTTATATATTTATATTTACTTTGAACACTGTTCTTTTTTTTTAAATAAAATCTTAGGAGATACATGTTCACGTTTATTATGACAGAGAAAAGTCATAATTTTAGTGGAACTGACTTTTCAATATTATTTATAGTAATATACCGGTAATTGTTAGTTTGTACAATTGAATTTTATATCATTGGAAAGAACACGACAATCTGTACATTTTTGTATAAAAAAATTTTTTATTTAGTTATTTGCAATTTTGTAGAGAGTTTTAGTATTAACAATAATCCACTAATTCGCTTAGGGATATGGGCCCTGCTGATTTAATAAGCTTAGGGGTAGCTGGCTAATCTTTTAATTGGCCCAAAATCCCCCTAGGCTAATTCGAGGGTGGCTCTAAACAAATATGGCATCGTAACCTATAGGTTACCAGTTCAAATTTGATGCAGATTAGCGTAACCTATTTTGAGGTTACCATATAAGAGGCTTATTTCATACCCTGATAAATACAACATACCTTTTTCTTTATTAGTATTTGATACAGTATGCACACAAGACAGGGGTCAAGACCGTCACAAGAATTCAAAATTAGACTTCTATAGACACACGTAAAAATTATCACGATAATATCGTTTATCGTGATATTAGATAAATTATTATCACGATATTTATTTTTCATTATCGCCCAAGCCTAACTGATCATTTCTGATACACGGATACTTTTATACCGTTTTAGATTTCTATCAAGCAATCAGTAGCGGACGTTTAGTCCGGCCCAGATCGCAATTGATAACGAGGCTCTAACTAATGTACATGAAACAACTAGTCAAAATCATAGTAACAAAACAAAATGGGGGGAACTACATGGCAGTTCAAAAACATATACAATGACATTAAATTAACATAACAACATATTACACAAATCAATTATTATACATACCAATTGGCATCTATTTCATAATTTGGTTTGATTTATATTAATATGCAAAATATATAAATTAGAATATTGAATAATTATTTTAATTAATTGTGATGATAGAAGGCGCAGTTCTCTTGCTGGACACTTCACAGGCATTGAAAATAAGCAGGATGAAAAAAAAACCGCCTAGAAAGTCATAAACTTTATTACAAATAAATTTCAACGGAAGAACCATCCGCCGATGCATACTTTCACCAGGAATGACCCACGTTTCCTTTACACTACATTTAATAATATCGCAGTCCTCTTCGCCATAGACATTGTTTTGACGATGTGGTCTAAACAAACACGTGATTGTTTTACGCTCAGAGTATCATAGCAAGACGCACGTGTAAATACTACTCAGGTCGTCTCTCCACTGCGAAATCATTTTACCATGAAATGTAACGTGAGGCTCAGAAAGGGATAAATAATGAAAGAACAGAAAGTATTTGTCACTTTTCGGTTGAAACGACTCGATAATAAATACTATTTTTCACATTTTGCTTCACAATACTCGATAGAAATGTGATGTAAGTAACTTATTAGCACCTTTCCTCGGTGTATCGGTGAATATCAGGACAGTTTTGGTCGGGAGCCGCCTCAGCTGGGCCTCTCGACCAAAACTGTCCTGATATTCACCGATACACCTCGGAAAGTGTGCTAATAACTACTACATAACGTGTTGTATAGTCAAACTCAAATCCTGAATTGTTTTACAGTTTATACAGCAGTGTATTCTATGAAGTGTGGTTTAATTTTAAAACCTAACTTTTTATTTTGTTTTTCTGTGACAAAGTGACAAAGAATTTCAAATAATTTAATCCACAACTATAAACAAAGCCCTTAATGTTTCCCACTTGCCAAAAATTCCAAACTCATAATATGACTAGTACTGGTAGTACCGGAAGTGCCAAAGTGTTTTGTTTTGTTTTTGTTAATTTATTGTTCTTGTTATTTACAGGGGATTGTTAGGGTTGATATTAATAAAATAATAAATACAACATATCTTTTTCTTTATTAGTATTTGATACAGTATGCACACAAGACAGGGGTCAAGACCGTCACAAGTATTCAAAATTAGACTTCTATAGACACGTAAAAATTATCACGATAATATCGTTTATCGTGATATTAGATAAATTATTATCACAATATTATTTTTTCATTATCGCCCAACCCTAATTTGAATTATATATTTTGGGGTATGGGGTAGGGATACTGTGTACATATCTTTATATTCTCAGTTCTTGTTTTGGGGTAAAGAACAATTTAAATAGCTATTTTATATTTTGTGATGGGTAAAGTGGGGGGGGGGGGGTCATTATATATAACACAATATAATTAGTATTAGAATTCTCTGTTTTTCTGTTAACATTTCAAATATCTATTTTGATGTATTAATTTACTTTTTCCTATGATTTTATGAATAAATAATAATCTTACAAACTTTTTTTTTGTTTCCTTCTTTTATCAAACTTTACAGGTCTAACAGAGCAAAGAGAGGGGTCCTGCATAGAAAGGTTGCTATACTGGATTTAAATTGGGGAAAAATACAACACAAGTTTTTGTTGATGGTTATACACAAGTTTGTATGAAACCACACAAGTTTCAGAAATTTTAACACAAGTTTCAGAAATTTCAACACAAGTTTCAGAAATTTCAACACAAGTTTCAACACAAGTATTGTGTAGATTTTACACAAGGTTCAACACAAGTTTTGTGTTGTTTGATACATTTTAACACAAGTTTTGTGTTGTTTCAACATTTAACACAAGTTTTGTGTTGTTTCAACACAAGTTTGTGTTGTTAAATAGAGACACCTTACTTGTGTTGAAACCAACACAAGTTTGTGTTGTTTCAACACAAGTTTTTTTTCAGTGTATTGAATTTGGGGAATTTCAATATATAAACGTTTCGTTTTTTTGTGTTAATAACAGCAATCTGATTTTTTTCTAAATGGTATAAGTGTATGCCATGACCCTTCAAATGTATGTTTTGACACCAAGAGGGCGTTTCAAACTGGTTCAGAAGCTGAGATATAAATATACTAATTCGGGTTTTATATGAACTTGATCTCTTTTTTGTTAATAAATCAATTTGACGTAGCGAACTCAAAACCTCCTGGAGCGAGCCAGTGTCGTACTCGCTGGGCCATCGCGGCCCCCGGATATATGTATTATGTGCAGCTTTTAATTACCTGCTATTTATAACTTGCATAGTTATCAGCATATTCCGAAAATAGAAACTCGCATAACCGGTTTTGAGGGTAATAAATTATTAGACCCGCCTAGTAACACAGTAGATACAACGACTTATTGACAGATTCTGGAAATCAGCAAGCAGGTAAATTAGAGATGTATAATACAGCAGCCAATACGAAGCATATAACAGCAGGGCGTTAAACCATATTTCATTTTAATTCATTTATATCAGGGTAGTTTTGACAAAGCTAAGATTCGACAATATATTGCTTACCTTTTTTTGATGACGCCATTTCTTTCTGATCCAGGTCCTCCGCTGTTCTACTTAACAGCTGAAAGGGGAAAATGCTCCGGTAAATCTCTGTATGACTCATGAATGAAAATGGTTTAAAGTTTATCGAATCATACGATAACAAATCTCGGATAATTATCAACTTAACGGTGATTTTGTAAAACTGCTAATGAGTGAGCCGTTTAATATCATAAATTAATAATCAGTTTTCAAAAGACATGTATATCATTTTTTTCTGCTGATGCCCTTTGTATAGTACTATAATTAATTAATTTTCAAATGGAATAAACTTGTCGACAAATAACATAATACTTTGTAAACTATGTTTTTAGGCAGGTTTCAATAGATATATAATATACCCTAATTTGCCGTTGATGACAATTATATAGTAGTATAATAGTTTATTTATTTGGAAATGGAGTCAAGGTTGGCTATATATTTTTGGCTTATCGTAAAATAAAGATGTACTTACATGAATAAAACTGTTACTAGAAAATCGGTTAATTTTGAAGGAAAAACTAAATATGACAAACGAGCCAATAAAATCGTCGGACTGGCAGTCAAGGCACGGCTTAGCTTGCATAACGGGGATCACGTGGCTAAGTGGGTAAGACGCTGGCTCGCTAGCCTGGAGGTCACGTGTTCAATCCCTGCATTGGCCGAGAAAGTTCATTCGGATTTTCCAGCGTGGTTTCCCCTTGTCAGTGATGCAGGATGCAGGGCCTGACAAGGACAGCTGTCTAGTCGTTCGGATGGTACGAAAAACCGAGGTTCCGTGTACACATTGGCGTGCACGTAAAAGATCCCTTTGCAGTTGGAACTCGATATAAGAGCAGGCCGTAGCGCCGCTGCCCGGGCAAAATTTCCCTGATAGCACACTGTATGGCGTATGCCCGTCTTCATTAGCCCAGGTTAGGAGCAGAACAGTAGGACGTTAAACCCCATTTCATTTCATTTAAGCTTGCACAACGAAACAACGCCGTGTTTCCACGAACTTCCCTGTTTCCACGAACGCATATTTATAGATAGATTTTAGATTTGTGTAGTTATAAGGTTGCCTGGCGAAAGTTGTTTACATTGACAGCGACTTAACGTCTAACATCGAGTATAATTCTGCAATTAGAACAGAAGTGAGGTAGTGCAACATTCACATGCAGTTTGATCGTTTATATCAACTGTGGTATATATCAACTGATCTACAATTGATTTTCGACAAATGACGTCTTCACAGCTAACATAATTTTCTAAATACCTTGTTAAACTAGAATGTCGATTAAACTACAGTCCAGGTTGTAACGTTAACTTTTTATTCCCAGGGAATGGTGAATTACAATGTTAACACAGTGCACTTTGGATTGCTATGTTTTGAAGGAGCAATCGTAGATGTGGTGAGAGTTCTCGGGTAGTGTTTAACCAGTGTTTAACCTACTCTATTGGACTCGGAGGGGGCCTCCAAATCCCAGGGACACCCGCCTGCATGTCGATATTTTAACTCAAGAGTCGCAATTAAATCTTGTATAATTTAAAGATTGATGCCGGTCCGATGTGTGATTTTACAGAGTATCAAAGGACAATTTTATTCCATAAATTCAGCCGGGGTAATTCAATTCGCCAAATGTTGTTTTTTGTGTTTGTTTTATTTAAAAAAAAAAAACCCAAAAAAACCCATTGATTATCCTCCGTAGCATTTGTATATTCAATGTAAACCTATGCTAATATGATTGTCAAAATAATAAAACTGCCATTGTTCATGTGACTTTTAAAGCCATTGTACAACTCATCAACTGCTGGTCAAAACGTCAAAATCTGAACGATCCGGTTTTATTTGTATACTATTTAATTGGAACATACCCAGGGTCACTGCATGTTCAAACACGCTTTTACACTGATTGCGTACATGGAGCGGCCATTTTGTCAGGCAGTTTAGATCCGATTTTCACGAAATTCGAGAGTCTTTATAAATCGGATAAAAATTGTGACAGCTAGAGATTCCATGGGATTAAAACGAGATTTTTGGTACAGAAACCGATGTCTTTGAGATATAAACATACACGTTACGTTTTATCAAAATCGGATACAAATTGTGACCCCTAGAGGTCGACGAACTTGGGATTAATACTTTTACACTATTTGCGTACAAGGAGCGGCGATTTTGTAGGGCAGTTGTCGTCGTATTTTCACGGAATTCTAACCCAATAATCACTATAGTATAACGGTGACATGTGGAACGGTTTTCGAAATCGGATAAAAAGTGTGACTTTTCGATTGTCCACAAGGTAAAAGAGTGATTCTTTGTACAATCAGGGGCCATAATCCATGAAGTTACGAGCCGATACATGCCAATATCGAATGGAACCGAGATCTATCGAAGATATATCTAAATTTCAAGTTTCGTCAAAATCGGATAAAAATTGTGAACTGTAGACTGTCAACAAACAAATAGTGGACGGGCGGACATGGACGACAACAATATACGTCCACGTGAAAATGTAAGCGTATAAAACGACAAAACAATACCGCTATAACCCATTGCCGTGTACAAATTTGGTAAATATTTACCAAGCTGCAAATACCCACAATTGGATAACCAAATATATTCTATTGTTTTGAAAACGGCATGTGTACTATTGCATATAATGCTGTAATACAGCCTAACATTATGAGACTTTTGTTGCGTTTTGTTTTCAGCTATATGCACAGAGACACCGAAACCAATCGTTACCAAAGCAAGGAAGTTTTTCAGTGAAACCAATCGTTACCAAAGCAAGGAAGTTTTTCAGTGAAAGCGTTCTTCAGTAAAACGTACTTAGGCTAGATCGACATTTCATCGTTTGAAGCATAAAGGTGGGTAAATTACTTTCTATGGTGTGTGTAAATCGATATTTTAACGACACTGATAAATATCAATTGATATTGCCCAGTTTACATATGTGAACGACAATGTATTTTAACGAACATCAGGCCAAATTAATCAGGGATACACAAGCCAACAGTGAGGTATAAAATGAAATGGGGTTTAACGTCCTACAGTTCTGCTGCAACTGGACTAATGAAGATTGGCAATGAGGTATATGTCACCGCCCTCGATCAATCCTAAAATAAATTAATTACTTACACAGTATTTTTTTAAAAAGCTAGTGGTAATCCAATTATTTATCACTCTGTATAACCTAAGCAGAAAATATTCATTGTCAAACTAATGTCACATAAGTGAAAGAATAAAACTATACGTCATTATATCAGACACTTCTACAGTGCATAGTGACCTGATACACGTCACGTGATAAACTATAGAACGAGACACTTTAACGTTAGGGTTTAACGTCCACTCAACATTAACAAGGTCATTTCAGGACAAACATATTTTGTAATTTTTTTCAGTAATTCGCTTGCGCGTAGTGGATTTAAGAAAACCAACGAGGTAAGACAGGTGACCCTACACCTTGCCACACCACTTAACTTATGATCAAAAGAAGTGATAATGACTCGGATTGTCAACTTAATACAACCAAAACCAAAAATAAGTCAAAATTTACTTATACTGGATATTATTAATAAACACATCTTAAATGATCAAAATTGGAGGCAAGGTCGTTAATAAAATAGGTCGTACACATGTAATTGCTAGATTTATTAGCTACAGGGATCGTTCTGCAGGATACGACCACTTTGGACACAGATCACCGTTAATTTCCCCATTGACTTTAATGTTGATTCTCGTCTCTTTTACCGGCTGTAACCTTTGTCCAAAATGTTGGGTTGAACGCTTTCTACACGGAGCAACATTTGGCAACCTTTTGCTGAAAAGTAGGTATGAGGTTCGCCATTAGAAATCTTGAGAGATCCAAACTGGAATTAGCCTACATGTAAACTTGCCGTACACTTCAACCTAATCAACCTCTTAACTCTCTTATCTTTCCGACTCAAAATCCCACATATTCACCAAAACTTGACAGAAAATGTATATACAAACACTTTTCGATGATTCTAAATAAAAAAAAGTCCACAAAGATTGACATGCAAAAAGGGGGAAAACGGAAAGGGAGAAAAAGACTAAAAATAAGTTTACCCCTTGTGTTTTTTGGCGTTTTTTTTTTGGGGGGGGGGGGGTACAATCATTGTGCTGAAGCAAGCTGTCTTGACCTTTACATCAATATCCCGAAACAGAGTTGACAGCATGAGTTATAAATAAGAAACAAACACCACAAATCCTAGATTTTAATAAGAAAATGTGAAGTATTAGGCTGACATCTAGACATCTCCGCCAGTTGTATATAAGAGTGAGGTCTCATTGGCCGGGTTAGGTGGTTTAACATTAATTCCAGTGACGTAGTTTCGAATCCCGGCTTATATGTGATAAAGAAGGTTGGTCGCCTATCCAACCTTGTGAATTTTCTCCGGGTCCTTCGGTTTCCTCCCACTGCTAAATCAAATGTGGATATTGAAAAATTCCAAAGAATTACTTGATGGTTTGCAATCTAGATCCCTTGCTTCAGTCTCATCTATTCAAACGTTTGACTTTTCTACTTTGTACACTAAAATTCCCCATAGTAAATTAAAAGCCCGGTTGAAAGACATTATTCACAGTGTCTTTTCGTCTAAATCAGGTACAGCTAGATATCAATATTAAGTTGTAAATTACAATTCCACATATTTCGTTAAGAATCACAGTGATTCCAAAAACAAATTCACGGCCATCAAGATAATTCAGATGTTGGATTTTTTAATTGATAATATTTTTGTTGAATTTGGAGGGGAAATATATCAGCAAGTGGTAGGTATCCCCATGGTCACCAACTGTGCACCTTTGCTTGCTGATCTGTTTCTCTATTCGTACGAAGCCGATTACATACAGACGCTCGTAAAAACTAATAAACGATCAGTCAGACTTTTTAATTTCACTTATCGATATATCGATGACGTTTTATCACTTAATGATCCTAAATTTAGTGATTATGTAGAATTCATATATCCTGATGAGCTCGAAATTAAAAACACACTGACAGTGACAATTACGCTTCCTACTTGGATCTGCGTCTCGATTTTGACAATTGCCATAAACTGAGTGTTAAATTGTACGATAAACGTGATGACTTTGACTTTCCGATTTTTAACTTTCCATTTATTAGTAGTAACATTCCAATATCACCAGCTTATCGAGTGTTTGTGTCTCAGCTAATTCGTTACGCGAGAGCTTGTTCCTTTTATTCTGACTTTTTAAGTAGATTGAGGCATTTGTCATCTAAGCTTCAACTACAAGGATACTTGCGCACTAAACTTATTAAAACCTTTAAAAAGTTTTATGGCCGTCATATTGATTTGATTGATAAATATAACGTGTCTCTCTCGGCTATTATTCTAGATATATTTAATTGACACGTATACTATTACTATCTCCCTGATAATGTCTACTACATCGTTAACACAGTTCATCGCGTGCATTTTGCATACCGATAGTTCATTGGCCAATCACGCTATTTTACCGACATTTCGCCTAATAGTTTGGATGCAGCTATGGCGGGTGTGGCGCCAGGCAGGGTGAGCTTACTCTTCCGGACACCTGTTACCACTGTTTGTCGTGTATTTTGTACACGAGGAGCAGTCCATTTGCTGATTATACTATTTTGCTTGAATACACTATTTTGCCTATAACGTTTTTTTAGGACTTCGAATTCTTATGGTTTGGATTGTTCGTACTTGGTTTTATTTTATTGAAATAAAATTGAACCATGTTAGTCCCGAAATAACCTAGTTTTGTCAAATGAACGTTAAAATCTCTCATCTCTGAACGTAGTGGTGGACTAAAAAATGTTTAGAAAGATTTGATTTTTGCTTTCTGTATGAAAGAAATGTTTGAACGATGACGAAAATTTTCGTCTAAGGAAAGGTGTCAGTGACGACTGTTTGTCTGAAGTTTTACCTTTCAAAGGAAAATGAATAAGCATTTAGGGTGTCATTCTGTACCCTAGGCTACACCCAACCCTAACAGAACCCATCAAAAAACCCTTTTTGGGGCGATTCACCTCCTTGTTTTCTCCATAAATGGTCTGTAATGTAGTTTGTATGCTACTAGATAATAAACAGCATCTCTCAACCCTCTGTTTTTCGAGATCAGAGATGGTGCTATATAGTTTTACCTGGCAAACCCGACGTGAATAACATCGGGCTTCATTATGCGCAATTATCAACATTTTTCATCAAAACAACGATTGATTATTGTTATTTATAACATTTCTGCCAAATCCAACTATCATTAACCATGTAATCCTACCTGATATGGGTACAAATCACCGTATTTTCAATCGAGGCGTTGTAAGCCGTCATTAGGAAGAAATTTTGAAACGCTGCTTGTTATTAAAAGGGGCCATTCGGCTCACTTCGGTTAACTCCGGGTCCCAATAACCCTGCATTGAAAGCTCCACCCACTCTTCGAACGACGCCATTTTGAGAATTTCTTTCTAAGTTTTGATAATAAGTAAACCGGTAGGCACATCACAATGTATGGGTGTAGCTACATATCAGCATTTACAGTCCATGATAGCACTTACCGTCATATAGCCGAGGTTAGATGTAGGGAACCAGAAGAAAAGGATTTCGGTGGCGTTTTCAAAGATAAATACGATGCTTCGTTAATTTAAACGCGAATATTTGGAGTTAGGCGATAGTTGTGTCACTACACTGGCCTCTGTGAGTTTAATTAGTCATAATAGTATACAATTATATTATTTTTAAGGTGTTTATGTATTAATAAAAAACCCCACTGAATTTGCCAGGTGAAACTGAAAGCACTCAATCGTAGCTAAAAACAAACACATCAGTATATCCCAACGTCAGACCGGGGTGATATCCGTACTGCGCTGTTGCGACGACGAAATATGGTCTCAAGATCGCCATAGGCGTCGTAAAAGCGTGTTGGAAACGCCAGATATCGTGATATGGTCTCCATGGTCGCAAATGATTGCCGAGTCACGGCGTTTGTTTTGAGTATATTCTGCGATCTGACCTAGTAAGCTGTTGGAACGCGGCTATTTTCAAGTTTGTAATTTTTGGGGGCCATTTTCTTGCGTTGTATTCACGTTTGCTGGCGACCTTGTGCAGTTTCTGGTCGCCGTGCGGTCGCAGGAGCGCAGTAAGGACGCCACCGCGGTCTGCCGGGATTAAAAGTGGAAGGCGTATGAACAGAGAGTTACAATTATCAAACCTTGAAGTACTAAATGAACTGACTAAACATGTAGGTGCATCTAAATAGATGAACTATGTAGTCTGACAAACATTGAGCATGTGGTACAATCAATTATTGCTTTTGATATTACACAGTTAAAGTGTTGTCATTAACTATGGTTAATTGAATGCTGGCGCTAATAACAATATATTCCACTTTTCTATCACTTAATTTAAGACATTTTTGTGACATCCAACATTTAAATGTAATACATGATCTTATGCAATGCATCTGCGTTCTGTTTAAGTAAACGGATCTACTTTATAATAACGTATCGTTTATATGTTCATATTTGTTACTTTTATAGTTATATGGTAGACATGGCGATGCAGCTGAAAGGTAAGAAAAATTAACTGATATGGAACCATTTTCATCTATAACAAAGACCGCCCATTTTCGTTGCTTTACAATAACCTATCGTGAATATGTATTTCAAACATTTTGGTCAGAAATAATTTATTCTTTTGTATCACAGATTAATTTCTTCTTTTGTATCACTGATCAATCTGTCGAATAGAATTAAAACTCTGTAGTAAACCACACAAATTATACCAACGTGATATTTTGAACACTGGTGAGCAATTAAGAAACTTAAAAATTGTTTAAAGATGTTGACTGGGGCTAAGTGTTTGTAGGTGTAATACAGTAACCATATGTTGACTGGGGCTAGGTGTTTGTAGGTGTAATACAGTAACCATATGTTGACTGGGGCTAGGTGTTTGTAGGTGTAATACAGTAAACATATATTGACTGGGGCTAGGTGTTTGTAGGTGTAATACAGTAACCATATGTTGACTGGGGCTAGGTGTAATACAGTAACCATATGTTGACTGGGGCTAGGTGTTTGTAGGTGTAATACAGTAACCATATGTTGACTGGGGCTAGGTGTTTGTAGGTGTAATACAGTAACCATATATTGACTGGGGCTAGGTGTTGGTAGGTGTAATAAAGTCACTGTATGTAAAAGATGTTGACTGGAGCTGGGTGTTGTAATTCAATAATCATATGTCGAAGATGAATATGTCATACAAATGTATCTACTTCGATAGGCACTTCCATTTCTGAAGGAGTTCAAAGGCAACTGGATCTGTTAGAAAGTTTACGACGTATACCGGAGGAGGATGTCCAAGAGCTTCAACAACAAGAAAAGGACATCAGAGGAGAGCATGTTTCAACTGCACGAAAACTGTTCAACAAAGTCTTGGGAGAAAGTATTGAGGAAAAAATTAAGAGATTAGATAGAGAGCTGAAAGAGAGTCTAGCCCAAAAAAGAAGAACAAAAGAACTACAAATGTAAGTAATAGGCTTTTTGATATTAATATAACATATTATGTTTTCTATGAGAATAGTGGCGTGATCGTAAACATAATTGAATAGCTCTTAAAGTACTCAGTCCGTTTCAATAGATATTGAAATGATATGTACCTATAACTGACGTAAATCACTTACATTGTATTTCCCGATGTCAATGTTTGTACCCAAGAGTCATATAGATCAAGAGACGTATTTGATGCATAGGAATATTTAATCGTAAAATGGATTGCATTCTACTTTTAATAACATGAGTGCCGTGGGGGCTCAGGTCAATCGTAAAATGGATTGCATTCTACTTTTAATAACATGAGTGCCGTGGGGGCTCAGGTTCCGTGTTGGATCGCAGTGTTGACCGATAATATGTTTTTCGCTATTTTCCTACGTGGTTTCCCCTTCGTCGTAAAGTCCTTTGGTATTGACGCAAATCTGAGCACACTTCATTATAATAGCTCATGTTTAATAACAATGCTTATTTTTTTACGTAGATAGTTCAGACTCGACGAAAACACATATTTCGTACGACTTTCCAGACAGTAGGACATTATCTTCCAGAAAGCATTATGATAACATAGAGGTTTATTTAGGAAATTCTGTTTTATTTTAAACACCTTGTACGAAAGAAAAGAAAATTAGAAACCATTATAGCAAAACATTGACAAGTTTTCTATTATATGGAAATCAGTTTTGTCATTTTCAAAATCGTATATATAAATACCGATCTGTACTATTTATTACAGACATGGTAACACTATTCTCGGCCCTAATGGTATGTATCATTGCCTCACGCCTACATTTAAGTACCATTTAAGTCCGTCCGTCAACAAGTTGCTGGTAAACGCGATATAGGTTTCAGTGTTAAATTGACCTTGAACCAATGACATCGTAAGGGGACAATCCCACTAGAATTTTCAGCACTTTGCGACCTATTGTTCAGGGATAATCCCCCACCACCTTTTCCGAATTCTTTGTTAGCGCATCATTTTTGCAAACTTAACATGATGAACCCTATTTATATTCACTACTCTGAGGCCAGGATGGACCCGGCTGATTTTATGTTTCAAATATCAACAAGATGACTAATCATCACCATCCCGGGGCCCTGCATTTTTGGGAAGTCATAAGGGAAAACAACTTCTTGGAATGTCAATGGGACTAGTCAGAAGATTCATATTCTGATCACAGTAGCTTGACAAGGCAGAGCCGCTACTCCCTGTAAGGTTTGCACAACAACCTTTGCCCACCTCAATCAGCTTCTGTATGTTAAACAATATAAGCTTATACATCAGAAGAGAGCAAGAGAAATGGGGTTTAACGTCCATTCGACACAAATTAGGTCATTTCGGGACTAACACATGATTCAACTTTATTTCAATAATTCACTTGCCCGTAGGAGTCTTTAGCAATTGGAAGGAACCGGAGGAGCAGGAGACCCTACTCCTTGTCACGTTCAACCGGGGAATCGAAACCACACCGGTTGACTTAATGACAGACCTTATGATACAGCGCGCACGTGCTAACCATTTGGCCACCCATCCCACATCCCCCTATACATCAGAAAATAAAATAGTATAATAGGTTGATGTTTGTACAAAGTTTCAAAAAAATTCCTTAAACGGATAATGAAACATTCCCCGGAAACGACATCGGAAAATAAAATATGGTGATGAATGTAAAAGTGTCATAAAGGTATTTTGAACAGTTTATGACATATGCTCTATAATAATAATTATTTGCGAAACACTATGTCAAATATGTAGTAAACATTCAAAAAATTATTCAACAGAGAAATTTGTTTCCACAAAAATTATTAAATCCGAGTAATTTCTAATTAGCGAACACAATTACTATCAGAGGCTTATATTTGTACAAACTGTCATACAGTTATCTAGAATAGTTTATGATCCAAATTTGCTTCCATGGAAACAAAAAATATAAATCCAAGAAGCCCTGAAATAGCGAAAGGCGCAACTACTGTAATCGGTTGGTGTGTGTGTGCAAAGTTACAAAAAGTTATCTTGAACGATTTATATTATACTTCGGAAACAAAATTGTACACCAAAAGATAAGTGATTAAATTAATCGGATGTCAAAAGACATAAGTGATTAAATTAATCGAATGTCAAATTTGTCTCCTTGGAAACACAAAAAATATACATCCAAGAAATTCCTAAATGACAAGGGGGTCACGGTGGCTAAGAGGGTAAGACGCTGGCTCCCTAGCCTGGAGGTCGGGTTTTCGATCCCTGCATTGACCGAGAAATAAAATTGAACCATATGTTAGTCCCGAAATGACCTAGTTTGTGTCAAGTGGACGTTAACCCTCCCCTATCTCTCTCTCTCTCTCTCTCTCTCTCTCGCTAAAAATTAATGTACATGGTCTGATTTAATAATTCCAATTTAGCTAAAGATTAGTACCATTTATTCTACTATTGAGTTGAAATTTGAAACCATTTCAGCCCAGTATCAATAGTAAATGCAAATGTTGGTTTTTAATACGATCCCATTTCTGTAGATTAACTATTATTCCCAGATCTGATTCCCATTAGGTTTCGGATTTAGTTTTTTGATCTAAGGAATGTGTATATGAATTGTTTTCCCCTGGGGAGCCACGATGCTAATAGGGTAATACGCAGGCTCGCTAACCTGGAGGTCGCGTGATCAATCCCTGCATTGGCCGAGAAAGTTCATCGGGATTTTCTGACTTGGTTTCCCCTTGTCAGTGATGCAGGACGGAGTGTCTGACAAGGACAGCTGTCTTGTCGTTCGGATGGGACGAAAAACCGAGGTCCCGTGTACACATTTGCGTGCACGTAAAAGATCCCTTGACAGTTGAAATTCAATATAAAAGTAGGCCATAGTGCCGCTGTCCGGGCAAAATTTCCCTCACAGCACACTGTCCAGCTCGGAGCAAAACAGTAAGACGTTAAACCCCATTTCATTTCATTTCCTAAAAGGCAAAAGGCACAACGACTGTACTAGGTTGATGTGTCTACAAAGTTTCATAAAGATATCTTGAACGTTTTATATGTGATATGCTCCGGAAAAGAAATCGGTACGGACGGAGCCAATTTCAATATCGTTCGGCGCGGGATAATTATTTGTGAAACTTATTAAATTTGGTCAAAACCCTGTCTTCCTTTCCGATAATCTGCTGCTGAGACAAAGCTGATGTGCGGATGTATTTCCAGGCTGTGTGTGACTATCTTAATCTGGTCCAGGAAGGTGTATAATAGTAGCCGTCTGAACTGACTATGGTATTAGGTACTGATGCCTACTGCGTACCGAGTAAATGTTGTGTTAACTGTAATACCGGATGTAGGGGCTAAAATCAAACGTATGTCCATTTGTGATCAAAGGACAAGTAGTAACCGAAAAACAATCGGTGGGTATTGAATATAAATATGTCTATGAAATATTTTTGTTGATTACAATAAAGAATTTCCGACATTCACGTAACTGTTATTGACAGTTGTTGCAAAACTCATATTTCTGTACTGGTTAAATACGGTTGACTATCCCGTAACCCAAAGACATAACGGATAATATATTCAGCGCAGCCATGTTTTTTTGGTTTTTTTACTAAATATTCGCAAATTGAATTGTTCAGGGTGTGAGTGTGTGGTAATGACGGTGGTTAATGGTCCGACTCGTTTCGTACGTTTACATGTACTTACTTGGTTGATTTCAGGTGATGTACGAGTAGCACTGGTTGGAAAAACAGGGATAGGAAAAAGCCACCTTGGTAGTAATCTTTTAAAAACGAAGGTGTTCAAGTTTATTATGAGCTTTATGTCGGTTACTAAACAATGCAAGTTTGAAGAAAGACGATTAGACGATACAACTACCTTATTGGTCGTGGATACCCCAGGACTGTTCGACACGAGAGATCCTAATGAACAAACGAGTAGGGAAATTGTAAGAAGCATTGCCCTTGCAGCTCCTGGTCCGCATATTTATATCTTTGTCCTCTCCGTGGGACGATTTACACCAGAAGAAGCCGATACTGTGAATATCTTGCAGGAAATGTTTGGTAAAGAGGTCATAAAACACGTCATCGTCGTGTTTACTCGCAAAGATGAATTGGCTGATAATAATTCACGCAAACAGTTCATTTTAAAATCGCCACCCGTCTTGCAGAATCTACTGGAACAGTGCGGTTACAGGTTCGCGTTCATCAATAATAAGGCAGATCAAGATGAACTACGAGAAGATGTTGACGTTATATTGGATATTATCTACAAAACTATTGGCGAAAACAACGGAGCGTACTACACGAACGACATGTATAAAAAAGCTGATGCAGTTCTAGAGGTAAGGCGAAAAGAAATTCGAAGTGAAAGGGAACGTAAGCAAACAGAACTCCGTCAACAAAGAGACCAGATTTTCAAAGAAGCAGAGAAAAAAGACTTTTACAGCACAGATGGAATGCAACTTTTGAAGGACACACGAGAAGCTGAAAACATGCTTGAAGAGAAACGCCGACAGATAGAAGAAATTGAAGAAAAAAACAAATTGCTAACTCTAAAGTTGCAAGAAGAAAAAAGGCGTCAGTCTATTCTAGAAGATAAAATAAAATTTCGTGAAGAAGAGGCAGCTAAACGGCAGGCATTACAACTTGAAGAAAATCGACTTAGAGACCTGGAAGAAAAGCAGAGACGGCTGGTAGAAGAGGACTTGATAAGACGACAAGAAATGCAAAGAGAACAAGAGCGGCTAAATAGACTTGCAGAACAGACTCAGAAGATAGTCGATGAAGACGAGGATTCCTCTCTCAGGAAAACATTACAAAAGTTAACTGAAATTAACGAGAAGATGGTAGAAAACGCCCAAATAAACCCAAACAGAAAGGCCAAGAAAGACGCTGAAACAGACGACAAATTACTAGAGGTCATAGGTTCTGCGGTGATTCAAGTTGGGTCAGCTGCTGCAGCATCTGTTTTGGGTGTCGGCGCAGCTGCTGTGTCAACTGCTGTGGGGGTGGGGTCAGCTGCTGTGGGGTGGTTGAAGAGCTGGTGGTCAAAGTGAGGTGAAGGGAGTTCAAATCGTTTTGCTTTTTTTTAGGCATTTGCTTGATACTTAACCTTCGCTACTGTTTTTAGTTATAACCCTAAATCATATTTTCCGACCTACAACTCCTGATATTGTATCAGTAATTTTAAATGGTTTGTTTTATTTAAGCGAATAAAAAATGTATGTTAATAAATTCGAAGAGTATTTCATCTACGAGCGACATATTGCTGTAAAGTCTGTCGTTATTTTATGTGTACCTAATTAAATGTGATAATTTGCAAATCAAACTGCTATTGATCGAATGCAATTTAGCTTCAGTTGAAAGATACTACTGATGTTCGGCGACGGACGCATTACATTCGACTAGAAGTAATAGGCACGTTATTTAATATTCTAATTTTAAATGACGACAATTCTGTATATACATGACACAGGTGTCTATAAGACTAGGCAGGTGTATGATTCGACCAAAGACACTTGAATATTGTATTCGATCTTGCGGTTTCACCTGATCTATTGCTTTTGCAGTCAGTTGATGCCATTCGGGTTCTTGCTTAAGATAAGACGGAATGCTTGACCCAAGGAGGCTGTTACCTGAAATATTAGATTAAATTATATCTTAAACCGGCGGGACGAATTACCCAATACTACCCAATACCACCCAATATCATCAGATACTATCCAATACTACAACATAATTTTCATTTAGCACCTTTCCTTCAGTCGCGAGAGAGGCAACAATTTTCAAAGTATGTAATTCAAAGTCAATATGAAGCATTGGGGTCATGAGCTCTATGACTTGTCGTTCCCCGTTTATCTCACGTTTCCCGACACCCTTGTTTCTAAAGTAGCTAAGTCTCTCAACATCATCCACGATGTTTTGATCTTACCGGGAAAAGATGGCCTTCTGATATCCTATGAAGACGAGCATACGCCATACAGTGTGTTATGAGGGAAATTTTGCCCGGGCAGCGGCACTATGGCCTATTCTTATGTCGAATTCCAACTGCCAAGGGATATTTTAAGTGCACGCCAATTTGTACACGGGACCTCAGTTGTTCGTTCCATCCGAACGACTAGACAACTGCCCTTGTCAGCCGTCTGTCCTGCACCACTGAAAAGGGGAAACCACGTCGGAGAGGGGTGGAGGGGGTTAACGTCCACTCGACACAAACTAGGTCATTTCGGGACTAACATGGGCACGGAGAAAATCCACGAGGTTAAACAGGCGATCCTACTCCTGGTCACGTACAATCGAGGAATCGATACCACTCCAGTCGACTCCATGACAGACCTTATGATACAATTAAACAATGAATTTGATATTACCTTGATTACATGTTCATTTGGCATTTATAATAATGATAATATAATTCGAAATTTAATGAATAGTTTAACTATGTTTTTGAAGTATGACAAGCTTTTATTTTGACTTTAGAAACATTTAGTTTTCTGGAATGGTGCTCACGCGACATTAATTTCCATTCCATTTTACTTTTATTCACATATCATCATGTTGGATATATTTTCCCAAGCAGTTTTTATCCCGTTGTAATTTACCAACGTTTATATCATTTATTTTTGTTTTATTCAAACATTAGAAGCCAACAAAAACATGAATTATGTAATAGCTAATAGCTAAATCTCCCTACTGCAGGTCTTTTTGTAGGTATGAAATGTTATATAACCTATTAATTAAACATTTATGCACATAAAAAGACCATAATCAATTCTCGATGACATCTTATGTCAGATTTCCATTGGATTTGTATCCGATTGCCGTTCAATGCCCATTGATGATTATCCGCGAAAATGGATAATCGAGACTTTTTTAATTACCGTGACAGCGGTAACGATGACAACCAAGGCTACAGTGATTTTAAAATAAGGTTTTCTCGGCTTAGAGGGAAGCATTTTGACTGAAATTTTCGGCATATTTCCTTTACATTCTCTAGTTTTTAACTATTATAGTGAGGACTGGTAGTACTTTATCTAATCATCCATAATGTATCTTTTACAAAAAAAATAATATATTCTTTAATTCAACCAGATGTTTCCTAAGATGAATAGGATATGAAGCCTCAGTTCAATATACCGAAAAGCAAATAAAACGCACCAGGGAATAAGCTATGCCTCAGTTTAATATACACAGACGCAGTGAATACGCGCAAATATATATTATATATAATATTATATTTTGTTGGAAAGATATATTTCCAATAATTACTCACATATCGACTGCTCATGGTCAATTTAGACACAATTTTTAAATTCATTTTTATGTGGACGTATATTGTCGTCGCCCCTGTCCGTCCGTCCGTCCACAATTGTTTGTGAACACTCTAGAGGTCACAATTTTTATCCGATTTCAACGAAACTTGAAATATAGGTTTATCACCCTAAGATCTCGGTTCCTTTCGATATTGGCATGTATTAGACTGTAACCTCATGGATTATGGCCCGTGATTGTACCAATAATTTACCTTTTTAGCTTGTGAACACTGTAGAGGTCACAATTTTTATCCGATTTGGTTTAAACTTGTAATATATGTTTATAACCCAAAGATCTCAGTTCCTGTCGATATTCGCGCATATCGGACCATAACTTCCTGAATTATGGCCCCTGATTGTACGACAAATCGCGTTTTTAGCTTGTGGACCCTATAGCGGTCATAATTCTTATCCGATTTAAAAAAAAAAGTTTGAACATATCACCGTTATACCCTAAGGATGGTTGAGTTCAAATTTCGTAAAAATCGAACCAAAACTGACAGACAAAATGGCCACGCATCGTAGTCAAATAGCGTAAAAATATGGTATATCAATGTTGTGGACCCTGTAGAGGTCAAAATTTTAATCCGATTTTGATGAAACTTGAAATGCATGTTTATAACCCAAAGATCTTGGTTGCTTTCGATATTCGTGCATATCGGATTGTTACTTCCTGAATTATGGCCCCTGATTGTACGAAAAATTGCGTTTTTAGCTTGAGGTCCCTCTAGATGTCCCAATTTTTATCCGATTTAAAAAACGTTTGAATATATCACTGTTACACCCTTATGATGGTTGAGTCTAAATTTCGTACAAATCGGACTAAAACTGCCGGACAAAATGGCTGCCCCTCGTATGCAAATATTGTAAATATATGGTATATCAAGGTTGTGGACCCTCTAGAGAGAGGACACAAAGTTGATCCGATTTTGATGAAACTTGAAATACATGTTTATAACCCATAGATCTTGGTTCCTTTCAATATTCATGCATATTGGATCGTAACTTCGGATGAATTATGGCCCTTGATTGTACGAAAAATCATTTTTTTTTTTTTCAACTTGTTCTCTGTCCATCTCTTGCAAAATGTGGGCGTATCTTGCATGGCAACCGCTTGTATAAACCTTGTAGGCAAACAATATGACTGCGTTGACATCCGACAATGAATCCTATTGATTTGCGACGATTTTGGATAAATCTTCCTGCTACTATTGTTATTATCTGATATATTTAAAATTTGTACAAACTGTTTGTGTTCGTAAGACACAGAAATCTATTGATTTCACTCTGATTACCGGTACTTGCTTGTACAATAAAAATCTATTAAATTTGTGCATTACCTGCAAAACAATAAATTTGCGACCACCTTTGTGGACATCCAAAATGACTTAGCTGCTGTGAGAATTATGTCTCGTTTCCTGGCAAATTATTTTTTCCTTTGTATTAACACGGGCTTTTGTAGAATTATAAACTCTCGCCTACAAACTGCAAATTTTTACAAGTGTCCAGTTTACATAAAACATGCATTGTCGAATCTTCCCACTTTTGTTTTGGTTTTTCAAATAAATTATATGTCAAAATATACAAATACACACATAAACGAAAACCATTAATTAATAGTTAACACAACATTATATGGGATGTTGCCAAATTTTTAAACAGAAATAAAAAGAGATTTGAACCCGGATATGAAAGAAAATTCGTGATAGATAATAAAGAGACCAATCTTACTTTGCTTGATATTAGATGACAGCCTGTTTTCCCCTCCCCAATGATCCAACCTCGTGGGTTTTCTCCGGGTCCTCTGGTTTCCTCCCACTGCTAAAGACCCCTACGCGCAAGCGAATTATTGAAATAAAATTAAACCATATGTTAGTCCCGAAATGACCTAGTTTGTGTCGAGTGGACGTTAAACCCATCTCTCTCTCTCTCCCTCTCTCTCTCTCTCTCTCTCTCTCTCTCTCTCTCTCCCCCCCCCAATGAAATGAAATGAAATGGAGTTTACTGTTCTGTTCCGGCTGGGCTAATGAACACGGGCATACGCCATACAGTGTGTTATGAGGGAAATTTTGCCCGGGCAGCGGCACTACGGCCTACTCTTATATCGAATTCCAACTGTCAAGGGGTCTTTTATGTGCACGTCAATGTGTACATGGTACATCGGTTTTTCGTCCCATCCGAACGACTAGACAGTTGTCCATGCCAGGCCCTCCGTCCTGCACCACAGACAAGGGGAAACCACGTCGGAAAATCCCGATGCACTTTCTCGGTCACGCGACCTCCAGGCTAGCGAGCCAGCGCCTTACCCGCTTAGCCACCGTACTGTTAACAATAAATAGTTAACATTAAATAAAATGCCATGACGCGAGATCTTACAGGTAATAATATACTATTCAAAAAAAGTAGGGGATATTTGATTTTGGGGGCATAATACTAAAATATGCAAATGACTACGAAAAAAGTCACTATAGAACCTAACAGAAAAAACATTTCCAGTTACATGTGACGCCCAAACGCACCAATAGCTACCGCATGGAATGCAGGTGATGCTTGGGATCATCATGGGGGTCCAACCCAAGATTTACACGACTCTGACTTTGAATGTTACAGTCATTGTGGCATTGAATTCCAGGGTGGAAACATCAGTTTAATTGTTTTAGTGACCAGAAAACAAATTTTGATATGCGTCGGCTTACCCAAAATGAAAGGTTACGTGCCCTTGGCATGCTACAGATCGGCACAACACAGGCGGTTGTGGCGCGGACGATGAATGTTTCTCAGTCTGTCATAAGCAGGCTATGGTCCAAATACCGTGATACACAATCTGTACAGGACAGACCACGCTCAGGTCGACCAAGGGCGACAACTCAAGCCCAGGATCGATTTATCCGTACCTTGGCCTTGAGAAATCGTGTCATCACA